ACACACACACACACACACACACACACACACACACACACACACACACAAATACTTGTTTAATTTAATATATAGTTTATTACGTTAAATCAAGCAATCATTTATTCCAGAGCTTCGTTATAGCAAATTTTACATTAATTTGAAAACGTTACTTTTGAAAACATAAATGTTGGAATTCACTTTGAATCTAATTTGTGTGGAACCTGGAGCCATGTCGTCTTTGTAGTTTTCAATTTTGTAACATGACTTTAGAATTAAATTTTTTAATGTAGTTTTTAAAGTCAGGAAATGATAATCTTAATATATGCTCCGGAATCATATTGTAAAAACGTATATGGTTCCCCATAAAAGAGTCTATAATATAATGATTAATGTGGTCTCTCTTGTCTCTCCATTATCCACTTGATGTGTTGTGCTACACGCGGGGTGGGTGCCTGGTTTAGGCTCCAGTCTTCCACAAATGTAACTAACTAACCTAAGTAAGAGAAATAAATAATTTTGTATTCGTATTTGTATTAATCGATGAGTTTTTACGGATACGGATGCTTTGCAGATCACGGCAAGATAGTCGGGGATCAAGGTCAAGGACTTTCGCAGTATGTAGTGCAGGCAACGACCTGTTTGTTTTCTCAACAAATCTTTATAAATTCTAAGTACTAATAAATGTCGTAAAAGTTTTTTTTATGCTACCAAGTGACGGGACGAACCAGTTGTGGGCCTGTTGGTAAGCGACACGCCTGTCCATAACAGTTGCAGTGCCACTCTAAACTTTAAATCGCAAAGATCTGAGAGGCATTATCTCTGCGCTCGTCACTCTGAGACATAACGATGCTTTACTTTCTCAAACTCGTATCGTTTAAAGAGGGATTATTCCGTAGATGACACAACTTTGTATTTATTTTAAATTTCTTATCAAGGGTGTTAATTTGTATGCATTACTTTGAGAACATGTAAAAGCTAGTGTGTAAATATGATGTGAAATCAGGCTGCAAATTTTGTATATACAATCTATTTCTTGCATTTCACTAACTTTGTGCTTTAAGATACGAGTTTGAGAGAGTAAGGCGACGATAAGTTGACAAGTCCCATGTGCCTGTAATTTCGCCAGAACCCTTCAAACCCGGAACGCAGTCATGCTCACATTACTGCTTGACGGCAGAAATATGTAATTACTAACTATGTCTCAGAGTGAAGGGCGCATTGGCGGTGCCCTTTGATTATGTTCCGAAAGTACGATGTTTGCAGAAATACATTCGATTCGGTTGGACTAACGCTTTCACCATACCGTGGCTGTCGCTCTCCCATCAGAGCTACGAACCTGCGGACCTCACGAATAATAATAATAATAACGCACACTCTTATAGCCCCGCACTGGGGCACATATGTAGACAACCACAAATTACACCCAAACTCACGAGATAAATAAATGTAGGCCACAGAAATATTTATCGTTTGTGCGTGGCAGTCCAGCATGGCAGAATTTTTGCGCAGAATTTTTGCTATGTATAGTTGTTGCAATTCTTTGTTTTTTTTTTTGGTTTTTAAAACACTGCGGTCTTTAAAGGCTTTTTTGCCGTAGCGCCATCTCGATACCTCCATTGAACACTACGTCAACTTTATTATCTGTTAAAAAAAAAGAATCAAAAACAAAATTCGAAAAAAAAACAAAAAATAAATTTTGTGAAAAAAATAAAGAAACAAAATAAAAATAGAACAAGTCCAAAAATTAAGTTGGCGCCCATGGCGTAGTGGTCGTCGGAGTATCGTATCTGTAAGAAATCTATGAAAGTTTTTATTCACATTAATTATTTATTAATCTATTGTTTATTTTTTATTTCATTTATTCATTGACAATGATAAAGCCGTAAAAAATCTTCACCAAACCCATGGCGGAAGTTGTTTGAATGATTAACTGCACTATATATTTATCGAGTTATAAAGGTTTCCCGATTGTTACACATTGAAAATAAAACTATTTTTGGTGGTTCGAGCTTAGAAGTGGCGAGTTAGATACTCGCGCATATTTGTTTTTTTTTTTCAAACAAACCAACGTTTCGGCCCATTTACAGGTCCTATGATCACGAGGTCACGGCTGTCTGAGATGGTCATTTAAAAAAAGATTTTATACCGCTCTCTTTCGCTAGGAATTCTGCTTTTCTTTCTCTTTCTGCTATATGTTTTTCTTCTCGTTTCTCATCAAATGAAATTATGCACTTTCGGTTTCGTTTTAAGATAATTTAGAATACCTACTTATCTTTTGTACTGTTACTTTCAAAATATAAGCAACATTTATCAGAAGGATCAGGCTTTCCAAAGCCATCAACCAGTTTTGTCTAATATTAATGCAAATCACACAATTTTTCACCATAGTTACGAAAGCGACTAATTTAAATATCTTATTATACATACCATTTACAATTTATACAATTTACCAAAAAACATTCTATTTTACGCTACAAAACGTACCTACGTTTTGCAAAATTTTAATAACAACCGAATGAATGGAGAACCTAAATTGA